TTTAGCATTATTCAGTTAATAAAATAAGAATAATTTTCATCCTGATCGACTCTGGGAGCGGCCATTTTCTCCCAAATATAGTAGCCCCTCCCTCCTGCCATCTTAAAGCGGGGAGAATGGCGCTAGGCTTACCGCACCGTGACGTCACTGCTGGAAGATGGCAGGAGGGAGGGGCTACTATATTTGGGAGAAAATGGCCGCTCCCAGAGTCGATCAGGATGAAAATTATTTTTATTTTATTAACTGAATAATGCTAAATTAATTAAATCAACGCAAATGTATTAGTTTTAGGTATAAGTAATGATCCATTATTATTCCTTGCCGTCTGGACTTTTCCTTTAAGAAACCTTTGGCTATCAGCTTATTAAAATAATTGCTAGTTGTAGCCGTAGTTTATTCAAATGCTCAGGTTCACCTGCATTCTTTTAATCATCATCAGCTGCTCCACCAGAGGCTGCGTCTCCCCTGTCAAATTCATGGTTCCCTCCAGCATGATGAAAGCATGGACAGACGGGAAGGAGGCGTGAGCAGGAGGCTCACACTGCACGGAGAGCATGTGGGGAATACTGGGGGACAACAGACACGGTTAATCATGTCGGACTGAGGTTCCTGTTGGAGTCGAACCAAATTCATCATCTTCACCTTTTCACCAAAGACAAGGTTTCCTCGATTGAAGTCCTCAGTGTCTGGTTTGGTACGTCACAGAGGCCGTCTGTCACTTTAATCATTGCTTGTTCAACGTTAGCCCAGGAACCTGTGGAGAAGCAGAAACTGTAAGGTCTGGCAGGCAGAGCAGGGCGCTTCAAGGATGTGGAGACGTGGTTTCCTTCCTTTTGGGTGTCAGGCTCTTATATCAAAGGCTCTAATCCAACTCTAAATACCTTGATCCTCCAGCCGGGCGATATGGACCAGAGCTTTGTTCTTGGTGCTGCTCATCAGGCCGTGCAGCCTTTCCTGGCAGGCTCTGAGGACGGCCTCTGTGCTCGCCGATGGACCCAGTTCTCTCAGTTTGTCACAGTAAAACGCACATCCCTGCAGGAGCCACACCACCACCCCCAGCAGGGCCCGGCACAATCCGATGCATTCCTCAGCCTTCCCGTGGCAGCTGAATGGGCACCAAACAAAAAGCAGAGGAGCTAAACCAATCATCCCCTTAGCCATGCAGAGAGACCTTTCTTGTTTATTTCCAAAAGCCTTGTGGAACGTTACTTTTTTTTTTTTTTTTTTTTTTAGAAAGTTATGAATTTAATCTTGGTGTATTTAGAGGAGAAAAAAAAATTATACAATAAACACTTGAAAACTAGTAGGGTTGTGTTAAAAGAAAGTATTCAAATTTAGAATAAATTCTTATACCGATCTTCAAGATTAAGTGATATAACCACAGTGTCACCGTCCTTACGACCATTACTTCATTAAATCTGCTGTTCAAAGTTAATAAAACACTATGCAGGAGCCAAAAATGTCAGTTTTTAACATTGTTCATTATTGTGTATGCCTTCAGCATATTTAGATATTTTCTTAACAATAAGGTTCCATTTTTTTATGTTTTTGTAGAAAAGCACCACCTAAAAGACGTCATTGAAAATATACGAAAAGTGCTGTGTCACGTCAGTTCAGAAAGAAATTAGAATGTGGTGTAGTTACCTGAGCTCTACAGTTTTTGACCGTTAAATGTAGAATGCTGTGCAAGATTAAAGAATCCTTCAGTAATATCTGCTCAAAGAAAAGTCAAGTTTGTTGTTCGTCAGACTTTGTGTGGATTAGTAAGTGCTTTTTTAATGGGACAGAAAAGCGTCTGCTCAGAGCTAAGTTAATTAACACCAACAAAAATTTTAACTTGTTGAGCAATATAATGGCTTTGAACCAGAACAATGAATATTTTTACAATTTTGGCATAATTACTGCTCCAGGTAGATGCTTTGGCAGCTATTGGCACATGTTAGTGGGTGTAAACAACAGTTAATGACTGATCAATTACTACATTGGTTGACGATTATTTCAGTAATCCATTATTAAGGATTAATTTGACTGACTGTGTCATCCCTAATGACAGTTAGGAAACAGCTAAAAGACAGGTTTTAAAGGAGAACTTCTGAAAGTACTCAAACTTCTGAAAGTCCTTTAAATATGAAATTATTCCGTCCTGTTCAATAAATGATCAGTGTTTCTAATTCAGAGTAATTTTCATGTGAATGTGCTTTACTGGAGGCATCCATGTTTGTCAAAGAACACTACTGCCACCTACTGGTTAGTGACGTCACGGTGCGGTATCGGCTGTTGATCAAGTCCCAGTGCTGTATCTGGTGTTTGTCACAACCAGAGGTGGAAAGAGTACTTAAAAATTGTAATTGAGTAAAAGTACCGTAAATCCTCTAATATAGGCCGGGGCCTTTATTAGAGGAT